TTTTGCAGGTCAGGCGTGCCGCAATCCAAGAGGGAAAAGCAAACTGCCAGGAAGCAGACGACCTCTAAGATCCTGGTGCGAAACATCCCCTTCCAGGCCACAGTCAAAGAACTGCGAGAACTCTTCTGGTCAGCCTTGTTTCACATTTAATGGCCATTTGTGTTGTCTTCATTGTGTTTCATAGAACATTTTCACCTTGGTGAAGTATTTTTCACTAACAAAAATGACTATGCTAATATCATGGTTTTGGACATGGTACCCCTGTAATAGTCTGTCATGTGAGTTTTGAAGTGCAGGTGTAGTATGTAATGTTGGATTCATGTCTTTTTATCAGCACGTTTGGAGAGCTGAAGACAGTCCGCCTGCCAAAGAAAGGGATCAGTGGAGCCCACCGTGGTTTTGGCTTCATTGACTTCCTTACTAAACAAGATGCCAAGGTGGGTGCATCTGTCTCTGTATCTTTCTGTCTCTTTTCACAGTCAGGTAGTCTCTTGTGAAACAACTAATCAACACTGATCTTGTCCACTATGTGCAGGAAATCTAACACAAGCTTTGGTTTCATGCTCGTTTCTTACAGAAAGCGTTCACAGCGCTGTGTCACAGTACCCATCTTTACGGCAGGAGGCTGGTGTTGGAGTGGGCGGATGCAGAGGAGACTGTGGACGACCTGAGACGGAAAACCGCACAACATTTTCATGGTAAAATCTCTGCTTTATACACAGTCAACAGTTATTTTGCGTAGACAGTTGCAAGCAGTTTTGATGAGTAACTTATTAAAATTTGCCACACTTACCTTATTTTAAGCACAATAGCTCAGATCTTTTCAAAAATAAAAAAAATACAGAAAAAGGTAATATTGTGAAATATAATCGCAACTTAAAATGTCTGTATTCTCTTTGAAGATATTTTCAAATGTAGTTCATTCCTTTGATGGCAAAGCTAAATTTTCAGCAGCCATTAATTTAGTCTTTAGTGTCACATGATTCTTAGGGAATAATTTTAATAAGCTGATTTGCTTACGTTTTCTCAATAACAAACTATTTTTGGTAGCATTGTAACATGTTACAATTTTGAGTTTTTCTGGCACTGTTTCACTCAAGTAATGGAGTTGAGTACTTTGTCCGCCTCTGCTGAAAATGAATCAGTTTGTTGGATGGGCGATTTCAGTGAACTGGCTGCTTCATAAAACAGATTTACTAATTGCTAGATATTCACTGGTTTTCAATAGTTATCTTTCAGTAGTTTTCCCAGAATTCCTTATTTTTTTTGCTTTTTGTTGGTGAAATAAACATCAAATTCTCAGTTTAATCCGTTTTCAAATTATCTAAAAAAAAAAGTAAATACAAAAATGACTGAAAAGTGCTAAAAAATACTGAAAATAATTGTTCTATGTGTGAATAAATGTTCTATATAACCCTTATTATCTGTAATTATATTTATAATATTTATATAATTATCTATATTAACAAATATTATTTGTGGCTTTGTTCTTTAACTTAATTTATTGCATAATTTAGTGACCGTTTCATTTAATCCTGTTGCTTCCAGAAATTTGAGTTTTTTTATGAATAATCAAATAAATAGTTGACCGAATAATTATCATACTCATTTGTTACAGCCTTTCATTTTTTTGTATTTGTCAGTTAAACCAATGCCTGATTCTATTTAGTCTATTCATAGTTTTAGTGCCAGATAGTTTCAAAATCAGTATTGATTCTTTTTATTTAATACATAATTTGAAAGATTTTGCCCCCTTAAATAGTTACAAAATTTAAAACCACAATTAAAACTAACTTTTTCTATACTTTTTCCAAATTGCAGTTTGACTGTTGATTAACTGCTTGGAAACTGCAGCTTGCCAAAGCACAAGCTACTCCTAATTTGAAGTTGTTTCCCCAACACTGGCTGCAATTCTAGTCATTTGCCTTCTATAATTGAATTAAAACAAATTTGTCCCCTTATCATCTCTCTCAGATGCTCCTAAGAAGCGGAGGAAGGCGGAGGTGTTAGAGGGAATCTTGGAGCAGATGGAGGTCGGGGAGGAAGACGGGGAGTGAATAGCAGCCGTCAGTCACCTCCAGCATCTATAAGAGAGTAAATCATCCAGTGAACTCCATTTATCCAACAGCTGCTTCATGGTTTCTTCAGGAATTCTTCCTTTTGGCCCCAGATGCTCCCAATTAGCTTTTTATTATATGCTCATACATCATCTCTGTTATTGCTGTCAATGTATTAAACACAGCGTCTCCCCGCAGACCAACTCTGGCTGAAGGTGAACTCGACGACGGAGTCCTTTTTGAAAAAGATGCCTAAAGGCCACGTTTGCTTTAGCTGTTTTAATCATCACAAAGTGCCGAGACGTTTCATACTCTGCTGTGACACGGCTGACATTGAATAGTGACTGACCAAAATATCAGTAGCGGAAAATAAAACTGGAAATGTTTCCTTCAACATCATTTTGTGACATAAAATGTGTCTATTGTAGTCTGTTCCTAACAATAAATAATGTAAAATCTTTTTTTTTTGTTGCATTGTATAAGTCTTTTTCAGTGTGGGTCTCCTCAATCTGAACACCAGTCAGTGTTGCATTCAAGAAATGACAAGCGCTTTCATATTTTTGGGATCATACTGTATTTATTGATGTGACCATAAATAATTTTGTCTGGAAATGTTCCTATCTTAGGGTAGTAATTACACTAGAAAGCTCACTTTGTAAAATGTGCTATTTGTACAGTCGAGGTCAAAACAGTCTTGGTCTAGTCTACACAGACGATGCCTTACACACCACATAGTGGACATTCTAGTGTACTGCATCACAACTGCATGATATCATGTGGCTTCAAATCAACCTGTAATATTATCTGTTGTGAAATATGGAATTTGCTTGGTCATTTGTTTTCGGTTTTATTAAAGGGTTCGTTCATCCAAAAATGAAAATTCTGTCTTCATTTATATTTTTCCTTACTCATCTCATTCTAAACCCATATGAGTAAAGGTTGGGATACACTACATGCTGTTAGCAGATTTTACATCACTAGGCATCACACACTTGCCAACTTTGTAAATGGTTACAGAGGAAAAATTTGAATTTTATATCTCCCAATAGTGTCCTTATAACTCAAAACATGGCAGCAAGTGACTTTATTAAAATTACTAATTAAAAAAAAATTCTCACGTTGAGGCAATATCGAGTTTCCAAAATTCTCGGATCACAGCTGACCATGATTTAGTGTACGTTGTTTGTACATATAGAAATGCAAATAATTTTAAGTAGTTTGTCCAACATAAAACCTCTGTCATTTATTCAGCCTTTCACCGTTCCAATCCTGGATGACTAGCTTCTTTCTTGGAGAAAAAAATAAAAAACCGGCAATCTTCAAAATATCTTCTTGTTCCACAGAAGAACGACATACAGGTTTGAAATGGCATGAGGGGGAGTGAATGATGACAATATTCATACTTGGGTAAAGCAACACTATAAGAAAAGGTTACTCAAATAACTTTTTGGCCTTTTGATCTAGCTATTTCTCATAGAAAGTTTCCAAAGATTTTGAACAGCGCTTTACTTGTCCTTTATGAAGCTACACAATAGTCATATAGGTTTGGAATGATGTGAGCAATTGACAAAATTTACTGGTTGAACTGTTATATTAGGCACTTTATAATCACGTTTTCTGTTAGCCCGTCACAGATAATGCACCCAATCAAAACATTTGTGTGATCATTTTTATAAATGTAATTTATTTTGTGATCCAATATAAACAGAGAACCTTGGAGGAAAAAGTTATACGGTTCAATAAATGGAGTTCCGATAAAGCCAAAGAAGTTTGGTGGAAAGCACTGCTTAGAGAAAGAGCGTTCTGGCTATGACAGACACACCGATACACAAATCTTCAGAAATGGATGACTGTAACTTATTTGTATCCTTTCGTCAAAAGTTCATCGGTTAGTACCTAATGAATCAAGAATGGAATGAATACATCCACATGCAGAGCCACGCTAAGCTAAGAAACGTCTATTCTGTTTGTTAGATAAAAACCAAGATGAGTTTTGTAGGAAACTTCGATGTCGTCCACTTAAATATAAATGATCTGGAATATACAAAAAAAGCATTTACATACATTTGTTTTCACTCAGTCTCAGAGCTCCACATGTCCCTTAAAGCAGTACGTCTATTTGCACCTCAAAAAAATGACAAGCTACTTTCATCGCACCAATCCCACTGGCATTTAAAAAAAATGCAGAGCTCGTAGCCTCTACATTAGCAGAGGTCACACACACGCACACACACTGTATTGCCTTGAAACAATGAGGAACAGCATACAGCTGTTATAATATGGAACATGGAAGCAATAAACTCGCACCAACTACTCAAACCCCAGCATCCCGCTTGACTAACCACTCACAGCCCTGGCGTCCAGCACATATCTAAGTAGGTAATGCTAAGAAATATGTATTAAGGCTTTTCTGAGGACCTGAGGATTTCAAAAACACACAATGAGGCACACAAAAGGCAAAGAAGAGCTCTAGATGTGACACACAAACAGATAAGCAGAAGATGACAGAAAAAAGAGACGTCCGACTTGGCCTTGTAGCAGCATTCTCTCGAGTTTCTGGTCAGGATGCTATTTTTTTGTTGTTCACTTTCTTCCAGACGTGATTTTAGTGCAAGTATTCCCATGTCGTAAACAGTAAGAAGTACTTGGAGATTCTTAGCTTGTAAGTACGTGTGACCCTCAGAGGACCGTCACCATGTTATGATGATTAGTTGGTTTTCAGCCAAATATGTCTTGCTCTAAATGATTACGTTTCAGACACCTGCATTCTCTTACAAAACATTGTACATGACATGCATCTAAAGCAGTTCCTACACACCCGGCGTACTGTAATAGGAACAGACAGACCGACTGGATCAAACAAAAAAGTAAAAAGCTAAGATATGTTGTACATACAAAAGAAGCATGTGACATTTTCCTCATTTTTTTTTTTTTTGTAATTTTTTTTAAGCTGCTTTGGTAACATCAAATTCAATCCCATCAGCCTTCAATCTTTTTTGAATTGGCTAGCGAACCACACACCCGTTTTTAAAAATCTTTTTCTCTTTATCCCAGTATTATTGTTCACGTAGGTCCTCTGGTTTGTATGAATGGGTTTTCATCGATCTGAGTCACTTTTCTCAGTCTCCTCTCGAGGAAGAGTGTTTCGTCTGAAGTCAGCGGCCCGCGCTGTGTTCTGTCATAAAGATGTGCGAGCTGTGAGGGAGAGAGCTATTGTACTGAGAGCAGAGAGAGTGGACACACTGGAAGCCGAGCCGATGGCATTGGGACCTGAAAGAGAATGAATCAGCAAATGATTGAATGAAGACACAGTGAGGAGATTCAGAGGAACAATTTGTAGGAGCTCAGATTATGATATTATAGGTTCATATTACAGGGTCGAAAGTTTCAGGTCACTAACATTTGTTATTCAGCAAGGACACATTAAATTGATAAGTGACAGTAAAGACATTTACATTGATACAAAAAAATAAAAATAAATACAAAAAATTAAAATAAATAAATGTTCATTTGACCTTTCTATTCATCAAATGAAAAAAAAAAAAGTGTATCACAGTTTCCACAACTTTATTAAACTGCACAACTGTTTTCAACATTGATGATAATAATACATGTTTCTTAAGCATCAAATCAGCATATTAGTATGATTTTTAAAGGATGTAATGATGCTGAAAATTCAGCTTTGCATCACAGGAATACATAACAGCTTAAAATATAAAAAATATATTTTAAAATAAATGAAACACTTTTAATTGTGATACAATATTACTCTTTTTTTTGTTGTATTTTAATTGCATTTTTAATGCAGCCTTGGTGGACATAAGATATTTCTTTCAAAAACATCAAAAAATCTTAAAGGGGTCATATGATGCGATTTCAATTTTTCCTTTCTCTTTGGAGTGTTACAAGCTTTTGGTGCATATTATAGAAAGAGATATTCTTTATAAAAGTTAAGAGTCAACCACGCCTACCTAAAACGGCTCGTTCTAACACGCCCCCACATACCTACGTCACGATCTGGGAAGATTTGCATAACGCCGCCCAAATGTTCACGCAAAGAAAGAAGGCGTAACTTTTATTCTCGCTGTAGTATTGTTGTCGTTGTTGCCGCCGCCGCCGCCATGTCGTGAAGGCACTGTGTGATTCGTTGTGAAAGCGAAACTACTTTATTTGGTCTTCCAAAAGAGGATGATATCCGCTTCCTGATCCGTGCTGGTCGCTGAGGAAATACAACAACTTCACGCTGTGGATC